TTCGCTGTGATAGCATCATGCATGTTTACAGTAGCTGAATACATATATTTAGACAGTAAAAATACATTTGGACAATGATAGACAGTAACAGTAATTATTATATAATAAAATACATTTTAAAATAAAGATTTCTTATTAATTATTTTAATATTAATAATAAACCATTAATACATTTAATTATAATAATATTGTCTTGCCGAGCGGGGACGGAATGGAGACAAAGGCGCAGACGTCAGGGTATCAGGGAATACGGGGTTTAATTACAGGTAAGGCATGAAAAACGCAGACGGACAATACAATGACCGGACTGGGGAAACAAACTGAAACGCAGACTAAACACAGAAGACTAATGACAACAAACAGAAACAGCTGATCACATGGGGATTCCACACAGGGTTATACATTTATTTTCTTACTTTACAAATTATTGTTTTGATAAATGTGCTTAGATGTGTTAAGTACAGTATATGCTCTTCTTCTTTTATCCGGTTCAGTTTGTGTTTAAATGCTAAAAAAAAAATATTTAGGTGTAATTTTTTGGGACTTTCAGTCCCGCTCCTGCTCGCTCCCTCAAGATTCTGTCCCGCTCCCGCAAAAAATATATATTATTTTCTCCCGCTCCCGCCCGCAGTATTCAAGTTTTGTCCCGCTCCTGCCCGCAAAATCCCGCAGGTAAACATATAAGTAGTTTTATTTTTACCGCTTCATCCCGCTACTCTGTTATTTGTTTCACTTGCTTCCCTTTTGAGCATATATAAAAAAGAAACGGAAAATAAACAAATATGTTTTGTTTTATTTGAGTTTAATTAAATGGAATGATGAACATGGACACGAATGAGGAGCTTTTCAGAACATGCCATCCTGTCCAAGCACCAGGCTGATTCCTTCTTGGGGTGTCCGATTACATCCCCATGTTGGAGAGCAATTGTAGACGATTCGCCTGTAAATTGTTATTATTTTAATTTAGTCGTTCTTGTTGCTTTTGTGCAGTAGATAAATAAAAGAGTATTTGTCTTTAATAAATTAATTTTAAGATAATTCCATTTTGTGGGAGTCCCGCGATTAATTCTATTCTCCCGCAACCCACACGTACATGAGGACCTTACAGCCCGCACCCGCATTCACCCATCAAATCTTGTCCCGCGCCGCACTCGGTCAGTTGGGTCCCACGGGTCCCGCGGTACTCCCGCGGGAGTGCAGGTCTCTACCGGGAACCAATTAATTGGTTTTCCATTATTTCTTATTGGGAAAATTCTATCAGAACTTAAACTTTTTAGGATTCGATCTGGAGTTCTGAATGGATTAAGTTTGAGTTCTGAGGTACCACTGTACTTTAAGACCTACATATCAAGGACTCAAGTAAAAACATTTTTTCACTTTTACATTTCCAGATGATCAATCCAGTACTTCTAAATATTATACTTCACTTTCATATTTCCATGTGATCCATCCAATACTTCTGGAAATTGGACAATTTTATGAGTGTGGGATGAGTATGGATTAGATGGGTGGGCCAAATGACAGCACTGCCAGGAGAATACAATGCTATTTCTGACGGCACCAAATCTCGTTATCATGTAAGGGATAAACCATGATGAGGTGTGCAGTTATATAAAAATAATCAACGACAACTTGGCGTAATGTGGCCAGACACAAAGTGGTGGGTCACTAACCAAACTGGAGTTGACTATTTTCATTTCAACCACATACCTCAAAGTGGTTTATCCTGCTTATTCCACAGCTAAAGACCAAATAGAATAATAGAATAAACTAGTCACATTTATTTTTTTAAATGTGAATTAGCATTTAATAATGTTCCAATATGCTCTTAAAAATATAGTCCTTACAAGGATAGATGGGCTGGACTGGCTACTCAGTGGATGCTGCAAGTCCCTTAAGTTACCAATGAAACCATCAACAGACAGGTACTTGCATTTTGAAAATCAAGGAAAATTATGCTGATAAGAATGACTTCTTTCACATCTCAGCCTTCCACTGTCACTTCAGGTGTGCCACAGGGCTCTGTCCTGGGGCCCCTCCTCTTTATTATCTACCTCCTTCCCCTTGGCAATATCTTTCACAAGTACAATATCAATTGTACTTCGATTTTATCTTCCTCCCTCACTGATTGTTTTGCAGAAATTAAGTCCTGGTTCTCTTTAAACTCTCAAATTAAATAATGACAAAACTGAGGTTCTTCTAGTTGGAACTAAATCAGTATATCCAATACTGACAGTTTTTCTCTAGTTATTGATAACTCGTCTGTTTTCCCCTCACCACAGTTTAAGAATCTGGGTGTCATCCTCGACAGTACCTTATCCTTCTAGTCTCACATCAATAACATCACCCGGTCTTCATATTTCCACCTACGTAATATTAATCGCCTACATCCCTCCCTTACCCTGCGTTCCACTGTATTCTTGTTAACAGTTTTGTTACCACTCGCTTGGATTACTGCAATTCTCTCCTCTTTGGTCTCTCTAAGAAATCACTTCATAAGCTTCAATTGGTTCAAAATTCAGCTGCCCGTTTTATCACCCGAACCCCCTCCATCCGCCACATCACTCCCGTTTTGCAGTAGCTCCACTGGCTGCCAGTTAAGTTCCATTTTGACTTTAAGATCTTGCTGTTAACATTTAAGGCCATCCACAACCTTGCCCCTCTATATCTGTCTGACCTCCTACAAGTTGCCACTCCCTCTCGCACCCTCAGATCCTCGTCTGCCATCCATTTCACTATCCCCCTTGCCCGTCTTGCCACCACGGGGAACAGAGCTTTCAGTCACTCAGCTCCTCGGCTCTGGAACTGTTTACCATCTGAGCTCAGGAACATTGACTCACTTCCACTTTTCAAATCGAAACTTAAATCCCATCTGTTCAAGCTTGCTTTCTCTCTATGAATTCAGTTTTTTTGTGTAATTTAACCTATGTTTTATATTCTTGTATTTTTTGTATTATTATGGTTTTATTATTTATATTGTTCTTTTGCATTCACTGTATGGTGTCCTTAAGTGTCTAGAAAGGCAATAATAAAAATAAATGTATTATTATTATTTATTATTATTTATGAGTAAAAAGTCAGCTGAGTACCTGAATTTACTGAATGGCCAGGTTATGCCATCAATGGTTATTTTTTTCCTTTTCTCATGGCATGGGCATATTCCAGGACGATAATGCCAAAATTCATTGGGCATGAATTGTTAATGGAGCATGATTCATTTTCACACATGAATTGGCCACCACAGAGTCTCAACCTTAGCCCCACTGAAAGTCTTTGAGATGTACTGAAGAAGACTTTACGGAGTGTTTCAACTCACCTACCATCAATGCAAGATCTCTACAAGAAATGAATGAAAATATGGATAAAAAAATGTCAAGATGTTGCATAAGTATGTGGAAACAATGCATTCATGAATGAGTACCATAATCAATGCTAAAGGTGGTCCCACAAAATATAAATAAGTGTGTAACTTTTTTTTTCTGGCCAGCCAGTGTATATCATAGTATATGTGAATGACATTATGATTTCATTTGGTATATTGTCAAAAGTCCAAATGAATGGCTTTTCGGAAGACTAAAATAAATGATACAATTACAATGGAAAGAATGTGTAAGTAATACATATATTTGTGAATATACTTTTAAAAATCTGTACCACTGTTGAGGAACACTACCCACCTAATCAAATGGTGCAAAAAGCTCATTCCATCTCAGAAAATATTTTTCTCTAGGGATCAGTACACGTGAGTTCAATAGACTTGATGGTTTTTATTTTGCTATTTGCATGTGCTAGCTTTTCTTAAGGAGCCATCTACGTTGGTCAGAATAGTTTATAGAAGTATTTTTTCTGCCTTAATCCCAAATGTATGATTTGAAATTCTTAGGAGGTGTTGGAATGATAGTAAAATTTGTAGCAACCTGTTTCAGGGATCTTTTCCCTACATCTGCCCATACACCGATTGCGATAGTACATTATCTCACAAGTTCATTGTACCAGTTGAGGTCTAGAGCTGTTGACAATTTGCATGCAATTGTTTCAGCCAAATGAATGCCAGTGTGGTTTTCAGTTAGCGGTCTCTAAAGAGAGCAATCTTCTGCAGCTTCTGCAAATAGTTTTCCTTTCTCAGACGAATAGCACACTAAAGTGCTGCTGTTATGTAATTTTCGTGATTCATTGGTGTTTGTTTTATTAGGGTTGATAGCTATTTTTATCTAAGAAAAAAAGCTATAAACAACATAATCGACTTAAGCGATGCATGGATTTCATTTAATGTGTATGCATTTTTGTATGCTGATTTGCATTTCAGTACTCCCAAACACAGAAAACAGCTAATACACCATTTTTGATATAAATCATACAATCAAATTTTCATTTCGCTTGCATATTCATGCATCTTCCAGTCCGTTTTCTCACATCTCACCATCCTTCATCGCTTATTCATTCCAATCTCCGGAACAAATGCTGCTTTTTTTCTTTCATTTCAAATTACAAGCAACAAGCTCAACTCTAGAGTAGAATGGATTTATCTGTCCTACTGTACTCATGTCACTAGATCTGTAGCCTGTCAGCTTTTCTGGAGTGCATCTTGCTCAGTACAGTATCAGACACACACACGCACCATAGTCTTGCACTGACAATGATGTGTGTGGTATTATTTTAAGTTTCATTAATATTCAAACTGCATTTATGTGAGATAATCCCTGCATAAAACAGTTACAATGGAATACATGATAGGGTTAAGTAAAATACAGGCACGGACAGTTCCAAAATAAACATATGTATACCAGATTAACATCATATGTATACTTAATATTTCCATGCATCTTTTTTGCAAACCAAAATCAAGCTGAGCTCTTTGCCAAAGACAGAAATATCATTCTCTGGTAAGGATAAATAATAAAAGCAAAATAAGTGTACAGAAACCGCTAATAAAACCATTGTATTTATATGTAAAATGCAGCCCTGAAAAAAACATTCTATTGCTAGAAATGCAGAAATACCTCTTAGCAGTGTTTTATGTGCCCTCGAGTCCCAGCCTGGAGGGGTATCCAAATTTTTGCACAAGAAGACAATGCAACCCCCGTCCTCACTGATCCAGCAAACAGCTGCCTTGGTTCTCCACTCAGTCTCCACCCTTCAGCCAGCACTGCTTAGGCAACAGGAAGCCACTGGGAGGCCACTTCCTCCCCCACCCCCCCACTACTGTCAGCACAGCCTTTTTGCCTCACTAGCTAGGAGAATGATCTTGGCTCACTCATTCTCTGTTTACATGTAGGAATATTAACAAAATCTCTGGTCCTTCTGACCTGTTTTTACTCTGTTCACAGCACATTTCCATACCCTCTAAATGCCTATACTCATTTCACATAGTCTTCTTTATTTTCATTTAAATGTCAAAGTTTAATCCAACAGAAAGATTTTTAAGATGTAGCATCTGAATGTAAAAGCCATGATAATTTGTTTTTGAATTGTTGTCACACAACCAGTATTCCAAAGATCCTATTACTATAGCTTCTCAAGCTCAGAGAGGCAGCACTGCATGATTAGACCTCCTGTAATCAAAATCTTTCATCTTTAAAACATTAACATATTACAGTCACAGGCTCCCAGCAAGCATCCAACAGCTAAACAGACAACCAACTGATCTGCCATTTAAAGACATTCTGAGAAACAGCAAACTGTATGGTTACGCTGAGCAGCAATAGTATTAATGCTGATTGTTTGGACACCAAATACACTAAAATTCTCTAGCAGGTGCTCCAGAGCTGAAATGGAAGTAAGTGGGAGACTCTGAGGAGGACATATTCTGAATGAGCCCCGAGAGTATATTTATTGACTCCAAGATGGTTTCAATTGATTAAAGTGATGAAAAAGTAAAAAGAATATGTGTCTTGGGTAATATTGTTGCCATATACATACAGAAAGTGAGGTGGCACTTCTGTATTTAAAGAGTGTGCATTTTCACTCCATGTTTCTTCCTGGTAGTTCAGTTTCCTCCTACAGTTCAAGTTTTTGTAGTGCACATGAATTATTGACTCAGACTTTCTGTGTAAGGGCCCTGTGGCAGAGGTTCAATAAATCAAGTTAAATTGTAAAATGTACATCTCATTGACTGTTTATCTGGATTTAAATGAAGATTAAAGGAATATATTTTGATGTAAACAGGGGCCATGATGTACTGGATAAGCACTAATAGCAAATTAATCTGCGTATGTGGGTCTGATATACCAAATATTCCCACAATGTGATTAAAAACCTATTATTTTGACATTATGGGGACCATTTTTTTGTTCCCCACAAATTCAATCTGTGACTACAATCAAAAAACTGAAAATGTCAATAACTTGTATTTTGTTATTTATGGTTAAGGTTAGGGCTAGATAGGGCTTAAGGTTGTTGTTGCTGGAATTAGAGTTTTGCCAATAGAAATGAATGGATGGTCCCCACAAAGATATGACTACAGGTGTATGTGTCTGTATGTGTGTGTGTTTATCCATCACTCATTCTCTTTTAAACCAGAGGACCTGCTATTTATCTGTCATGAGATGCAATCAGGTAATGTGAATGGATATGATCAATCATCCATAGTGTATTTTTTTTCTCTTCCTTGGTTGGTGTTGAACTTCATTATCCCCAATGCGTTTCCCACTATCGGTGACATCATCAGGCTGCTAATTTTACTACCACTTGCTCTATGTCACCACTTCGCTCTATGTTACAGTGGTAACACTATAGATGATGAGGGCAGTCAGGTTTCATAATATCACCATATTTCCCAAATACAACAAAATTCATTTTAGAAACATTAACATTGTTCTGTTTGCATATTGTTCTCAATAGACATTTTTTAGACATTAAACCAAAAAACTCTGTATTTATTGCCTGTTCCACTACTGATTTCACGTCCTCAGCGTGACGGAGGGAGGCCAGGGAATGGGTGGGGTGTTTATTTTGAATCTTTATTTGGAACTGTTTCAGTGTTCTCAGGCAGCTGTTTGAACTTGCAGTGCTCATATGCTGTGATTAAATCAGGGTCATATTAATATTCAGGCACCAAGCAACTTAAACATCTTTTAGCGCTACAGTGTTTTTACTGTACCATTTTGAAGGAAAATAAGCTCTTAAAAAATCTGCGAGTGAAGCAATGATACTTCTCTAATGACAAATACAAACAAAGTAATTACAATTATGAGAGAGCACAAAGTGAATACATTGTCACAGAAAAATGATTTGGGTCAAGAATGTGAATTTCTGAAAGCAGGCATGGATCTCACAACAAGTAGGATTTTAAAGTTATTTCAGCCAATATCCAGCAGGTAAAAAGAAATTTGCTGTTTTATCCAAGTGGAGAGTAAAAGGTCCTCTTACAAAGCCTTTACCTTTGCTGGACAGCAGCTTACCCTGAAAGCCTGACAGAAGGGCTGTATATAAAATCCCTTTCAAACTGGTGCCGCTATATTGTCAGTATGGTTTATACACTTTAATATTTCCTATATCATACTACAGTATGAAATATTCAATAATGCAAACTAAACTAATGCAAAATATATAACAGGACAATTTCCTTAATTCTAATTTATACTTAGTATCAGGACAAGTTTTACATTACAGCCTTCAGGTTTTATTTTAAAAATAGAGGGAAAAGAACTTGAGAGAGTGAGGGGGAGACAATTAGAAACAGAAAGAATGGTGATAAAATGGGTTTCCTTTTCCTGTTGCCATGGTGACAGTTATGGTGGTTGGCTGATTTCCTGTATGGCTACCTAGCTTGGAGAAAAAAACCCAAAATAAAGCAAATCTCATGGGAGCAGCATTTTCTGTTCACTTCCTGCATTTACTGTGTTGATTGAAATATTTTATACAATTCTTTCTATGCATATTTGAAATCTAAGGCTAATTTGATTAGAATTTGGACTTGTTCTATAGTTACTTGGCAAAACCAAACAAGGTAAGTATGGCCCCCATGCATCTCTGCTGAGAGAGATGCAGCAGCTGTAGTAATGTTGCGGAAATCAAAAGACCATTAATCTTGTTCCCTATATTCAGAGCATTGTCACTGGGAACTAAATTCGATGCTATATACCTCTTGGCTCATAAAGTTAGTCTTAAGTTAATCTTAGCTAAATTTACATTTTTATTTATTTGTCCAAAGCAACATACTAGCGAGATAAATTGCACAATGATTAATGCAGACTCATGAATTAAAGCCATTGTAAACACACTCTACTTTTTACAAAAAAAAACAAACAAATTAATTTTTTGTATAGCGCATTATCACAACATTATATTGTCTCAAAGTGCTTTACAGCCTCCCCACCCAAAGCCCCCAGTGAGTAAGATATAGGCGACAGTGGCAACTCCCTAGAAGAAAGAAACCTTGGGAGGGACCAGACTCAAAGGGGGAGCCCATCCTCCAGGAGCTGGCAGGGAGAATCAAAACGGAGCAATAGCTAAGTGCCAAGTCACACTGTCTAAGTCATAAGATTTGAGACACAACCGAGGAGCAGGGAGGTGATGACAAGCCGGTGCAGACGCTCCTTCCGATCGCCAGGCAACCAGTAGTAAGGCAGCGGGTCATACATGGAGGATGACATAGGCAGAACGTCGAGCTGGATGCAAGGACGTCATGGGTAGTGGCGATGTCACATGTAGCAGGGTGTGCAAGTTCCGGTGTTCTGTGGATTTATGCTGCCTTGTCGAAAAATGCTACCGTAGTGCTAATCGATAGCCCTAACCCTAACTCTTACCCTAACCCTAACCCAAACCCCCCAAAACCCTAATCCCAAGATGGTGGAACTGCACAATGGCAGAAAGGCTCGATAGCACGTCTCGATAGGTAGGATTTTATGACAGAACACCGGCAGATATGGCTATGGCAGCATAAGTAGGAGGGAGAGGCAAGTGGGAATGCAGGCATGGGGAGTCCCTGAAATGTCAGCACTATAATTCCACAAGGGAATGTAAAAAAAAATGTTAAAAACATCCCAACTGTCTATTAATGTAATGGATAATTTGTACCACATCAAACCAAAAAATAAGCTCCCCAAATACAAGCAGCTAATCAACAATCCATAAATAAAAGAGGAAATGATGGACCATTGCTTTAGTACACTTAAGCACCAACTGTCAAAGTGAGTGCAATAACAGTTCCCAGGGGTGTGGCAGAATTAGCTTGTTTCAGAGTTAAATCACATTGAAAATTAGTAACTCCTACCACATATGAAAATTGAATTGATGATCTGCATAACAACAAATAATTCAAACACATCACTGCTGTTGACACCAGCAGAACCCAAGCAGACAGTATCAAAAAGACCAAGAATCAGGCAGTTGGATCCCATATGCTTCAGATTTTAACCAAATCAGTCAAAATGATTTGTGTTTGCGTTGTTGAAAACTTCATTTGTGCTTCCTTAATGTCTGAGAGATAAATCTTTGTTTACATGGTGACAACATGTAGAAAACAACTCGTAGGAGTAGAAAACCGCTATATAAATGCAGTCCATTTACATCGCTGCCGTGAATTTGGTTCCCATTTGTGACTGATTTGAACCAAACTGGTCTCAATTGTTTGTGCCATTTCAATTTTCATTTGTGCTGCTTTTGTTTTGGAGCTATACAGTAAATGTTTACATGGTCACATGGCACCACCTTGAAGTTAGCTCACATATGTGACTGTTTTGAACCAAACCAGCCTCAGTGGTGTGTGCCGTCAAAATGTTCATTTGTGCTGCTCCAGTTTCTGAGATAATTATTTGTTTATATGTTGACGTGGAGTCAGCATGCCATTTGCGTTCAACCAGTCCAGTCTCAATTGTTTGTGCCATGATTGTGTCATTTAAAATGTTTGTCATTCAAAATGTTTAAATTATTTCTGAGTAATACTTCATGGTTTACACTATAACATGATCACCGTATAGAACTCATGGCCATGATTTACATGTAAAAAAAAGGTACAGTGTTTGATGCTTTTGTGACAAAGCTGTAGATTCAGTCAGCCCCAAGCCAGATAACATATTTTAGGATTGTGCTGAATAAATTCAGATTCTCAGTTGCTGTCACCCATTTTTAATTATAATGTATAAGTTTTGTGTATTTTGTTATTACAATCATTTTATTGTTGTTGTTAATATTTTTTGGAACATGTTCT